GTTTGATTATTTTCAGTCAGGGTGGTCAGGAAACGAACTAGTGGCCTCCAACAACAGGTGATTTCATTGATGTTTTCAAAGTGCCTTCCAGTTGACCTCAGATGAGCCTTGACCTTAATTGTGGTCAGTAAAGATGACGACTTTGTTCTTGCTCTCCTGTCTTGGCAATTACTGGTCCAGGCCTCCTGCCCACCAAGGTCTTGAGAAATCCTCTCATCAAATACCTTCTATGTAAAGGTGTGGTAAGACAAGACATAAACCTAATACTTGTGTAGCTGAGGCAGGAGAACTGCAAGTTTGAGGCCAAATTGGGCTTTATAGAGAGATTCTGTCTTTAAAAATCATTTTGCATAATAGATACATTTACAGCCTCAGGCAACAAGCCATCCACATAGGTAACATTACTGCATACAAATCATATGTCATTACTGAACAGTTCCAAAAAGCTCAGGGCCTCAATGATATTTCCATATCTCTGTGAAAGGAACAACAGGAGAGAACAACAGCCTTCATACTTCTGTGCCTTCCAAGCTCCTAAGTTTCCCTTTGTCCTTTGCCTCGTTGCTAAACAGACAACTTACGAGCATAAACACCATCAGACATAGGGTTGGACACTGGGGAAGGTGTTTCCACTAGCAACAAACCACCAACAGCTGTTTTATCATCTGGCTTAATTCTCACAACAGCTATGTGCTGGGATATTATCAATCCCATTTTGCAGAATGGAGAAATGGAGGCTCAGAGGGGTTAATGTGGCTAGACATCTGCAAGCCCTACCAAAACGTTAGCAAGAGTTTAATGGCTGTTTGGTGATGGGCAGAAGTACAAATATAGAGTAAACAGACCCTGGCTTCTGGTAATCTTTGCGCCTGAAGGTGTTAAGTGACATATTGTTGTGATCCAGCTGCCCTCACTCCCCCTGACAGAGGAACTTTCTTGTGGTCTGTAATTGACAAGGATGTTTGTATTCTTTCTGGCTGGAGGTTTTCCACAGAAGTAGTAGAGGTCTAAAAGGCTCGGGGATAAATAAAGGTTGCTGTTCTTCCATCTGGAAAGAAGCCTCCGTGTCTCAATCCTGGCACCCTCTGCCAGTCTCGGCATCCAGGCTGCACAGTGCAGCAACATATAAAGTTGGTCTGTCCATTGAGATTATCCTATTAGGATACAAAAGTATTGAGAGAGGTTTCTGTCCCACCCGGTCCAGAAGCCACTCAGTCCCAAAGAAACACACAGAGGCCTACATTAATCATAAGCTGGTTGGCCTATTAACTGAGGCTTCTTATTAACTAATACTTATATCTTAAATCAACCCATAATTCTTGTCTGTGTTTGTCACATGGTTTGGTTCCTTTTATCAGTGAGGCATTCTCATCTTGCTTCCTCTGTGTCTGGGTAAAGACTGCAGACTGAGCCTTTTCTTAGAATTCTCCTATTCTGGTGGCTCTGCCTATACTTCCTCCCTGGCTACTGGCCAATCAGCATTTTATTAAACCAATACAAGTGACAAATCTTTATAAGGATAAAAGACAATTGTCCCATAGTACAAAAGGGGACAAAAATTCAAGTACAGGGTTAGCCTCGAGGTCAATGGCTTTTTAGTCCATTTCTTCCTATTCTGATTAAGTTTCCCCAACCAAACTACCTTATACTTCAAAAACCCTTCAAAAGTTCTGTATCTCCATGTCTGTGACATATCTGTCCCAATATTGCTTCCTCCTCTGGGGCTGGAAGGGAAGAGCAGGTTGGGGATTGGTGGTGGTAGAGAATACCTAGACTTAGAACCCAAACTCACACTCTGTTGCCTGGTGACTAGCTAGGTAACCTATGACAAATGGTGTTCTATTGATCTACTTCAGTCTCCTCACATGCAAAATGAAAATGTTACTGCTAGGATCAAGTAAGTGATACAACATAACTGACTAATACATAGATGGAGAAGATTTTAAAATTGTTAAGTACCACTACATACATCTAAGAGCAACCCTGGGTGTTATCATCCCCATTTTTCAGTCGATAAACTGAAGACTCAGAAAGTTTGAAAATCATTTGAAAATGTTGAGTTCTGCTATATTTAAAATCTGCCTTCTAGCCATGTGTGGTGTCACACACTTGTATTCCTAGCACTCAGAAGACTATGGCAGGAGGGTTATAAGTTTGAGGTCTGCTTGGGCTATAGAGTAAGACATTATCTCAACAAACAAAAGTCAAACAATAAAACAAGCCTGGTTGGTCTTACCGCATTTAAGAATACTACTATATTTGCCCCAGGGTCTCTATCTGGGGTGCCTGTTATATTCTACCTTTCATTATTTAATGGGAATGTTCATGCTTCTACATTACAATAGGCACTGTGCTAGGCATGGAGAACACTGGTGCACACATCTCACTATGGCAAGGAAAGCAGATGTCACAGAAGTAAACAGCAGTATTGAAGGGATAATGTCATAAAAAGAATGGACTCAGAACAGTGATGCAAGAGAAGGCAAAGGGGATTGCTGAACAGGGTGTGGCAGGGAGAGCGTTCACTGTTGAGTGGGAAGAACACTGATGTTTAGTATCAGCGAAGTGTGCAATTAAAGCAAAGCACCAAGAGGGGAGGCTGGAGATACAGTTAAGGACAGATCCTTGAGGCCTAGTGAACCAGGTGAAGAGGTTTGGTTCTCACATGGTTGTAAGCAGAGAAGAGATTGATACTTTTGGAGACCTTTCAGCCTGGAATGTTGTCTTTCTTCTGAGATACTGTAATAGAAAACCATGGACTGCATAGATTACACAACAGGTGCTTATTTCTCACTTCTGGAGGCTGAGGAAACCAAGATCAAGGTGCTGAAAAGTTTTTTTTCTGGTAAAGGTCAGCCTCTATTTTTGGAGTTTTTATCTTGTCTTGGTTTTTCTTCAGGAGGCACAGAACAGTGAGAACGAACAACTTCCTAGGTGTATTTTATATTTTTCTGGATATATAGCTTAGGCTGGTCATGAACTCATGATATTTCTGCTGTGGACTCTAAAGTCCTGAAATTGCATTTGTGTGCAACTTACACCCTGCAAATGCCCCTTCTTTAAAGACATAAATTCCACTCACAAAGTTTCACTTTTATGACCTAACTATATCCCAAAGGTTCTATCCCCTAATACTATCACATTGGATCTATGGATTTGAAAATAATTTTTAAGAGGACACATATACAGGCCATAGCAGATGTGGGCCTGGATGTGAGCCTGGTGAGGCTGGAAGCAGGGAGTGTAGCTGGGGTGGAGACACACGTGGAAATTTATATAAAAAAATAATGGTTCTGAGCTGGGAATAAAAATGAAGAGGGCCTCGAGATGTGATTTAGGAAGTAGAGCATGGACAGTGGGTTATAGAGTTATTTCCTTACTGAAACACACTCTTCTGGATGCAGCCTTCTTAAGAGTCAGGAAGCAAACTAAAAATGAAAATTTAAAAACTGAGAAGTCTCAACAAGCTCCTGAAATTTACAAGTCACGGGTCCCTTCTTAAGGTTACATAAGCAATAGCATTAGCTGGGGAGAGAAGATACTCTGAGCTGTCTATAAGTAGGCCTGGAAGTTCCACACTTGTGGGTTTTATGAATTGTCACTCATCGTGGGAGCAAGCTTTTCAGTGATGCAACTCCTTTAGTCATCCATGTTCTATAAGTGACCCCAATAAATCCACTGGTTCACTAAGCTACACTCAATTGGAATAGTTTCTTTAGCTGCCATGGATTGGTTTGTTCATATCTCCCAGGAAAAGTCATAGAACATGGTGACTGGCTTAGAGGAAGTGAAAAATCATTAGTGACATTCTTGTTTCTTCTATCATGTACAATGAGTAGGGGGTGGGGCCCCTTGTTGGACACATGGACGCTAGTGGTGGATTAACTGCTGCTTGACAGGTGCATTCTGCACAAACTTGTATCCTAACTTCATCTAGCGACCATTGAATTGAGGCTGCTTTGTCCAGAAGAAAAAAAGAAATGAGAAGATCTTCCCATTTTAAGGGCTCTGTTTTCTAGCCATGGAATTATACCTGGGAGAATATATGTTGCTGTTGGAGCAACCAAAGAAAAGGAAAGTACAGTTTCCTCTGGGTATCCCGCTGGGCTTCTTATTTCCCCCAATTCCTTCACTTTGAGTATTAATAAACTGTTGTCAAATAAATTGTGTAAATTATCTCAGTTGCAGAAGGAAAACACTGATCTTAAAAGAGCTTACAATCAACTACAGCTGATGGAGGAAGGTCATTGGTTAAATAAAGAAACTGCCTTGGCCCTGATAGGACAGAAAATTGGGTAGAAGGAGTAAACAGAACAGAATGCTGGGAGGAAGAGGAAGTGAGCTCAGACGCCATGCCTCTCTCTCCAGGGCAGATGCGATGGAGCAGGCCGCCAGGTCAGACATGCTGAATCTTTCCTGGTAAGACTGGTGCTACACAGATTATTAGATATGGGTTAAGGCAAGATATGAGAGTTAGCCAGAAGAGGCTAGATATAATGGGCCAGGCAGTGTTTATATGAATACAGTTTGTGTGTTGTTATTTCAGGGCATAAGCTAGCCAGGTGGCCAGGAGCCGGGTGGCAGGAACGCAGCCCGCAGCTCCTTCTACATACAGCAACAGGAGCATGTATAAAACAGTGGTTAAAAACAGAATGTGATGCAGAAAAATCATCAAGGAGGAAGAGGCTTTTGTGCTGGCCTTCAAGGAAAGGAGGAGGAGGGTATGAGTGGTCAGAAGTAGAGATCTGGTGTCTTCCTCTTCTCCTTTCCACCTTATCTTTCCAGATAAAATCTTTCACTAAATCTTGAGCTCAAGTTCCGGCAAGACTGGCCAGAAACCAGACCCCTCTACAATCTGCCTGTCTCTACTATGCCTCCAATTCCCATCGACGGGTTTACAAAAAGGCATTTTTATAGGCAGAAACACGGTCTCAGAGACTGGTGAAGATGTCCCAGAAGGATGGCAAAGTGGCAGTTTCAGGTACTGCCAATTGGCTTACCTGCCCTCACAGGCACATGTAGAGGTCTGAGGTTGGCGGTCATGACATGGAGAAGTTTCAAAATATCCTGAAATACCATGCAAAACTCTGCTTCTATGAGAGTGCGCGTTTTTCTGTAGGGAGGGTCTACAGTTCTTCTCCAATTCTCTACAGGTTGTATTCAGAAAACTGTCAAGAAAACATTTCCCCGAGTAAGCATTTATAGGTAGACAGAAGCATAATCTGTTTTCTACCGAGCACCAGGTGCACCCCTGTGAATCTCACTACACAGGCCATTAGTTGCCTGAGCGAAACCCACATCTCCTACCTTTTACCTTATAAGAGCTGTCATGAGAGAAACTTTGGAAGAAAAGAAACCAGAACCGGTGAAGAATAGGACAGCTCTGCAGCCGCCCTCAGGTTAGGGCGGGCCCGTTGCCGGAGAGAACGTGGTTGGTCGGCTGGCTGGTCAGATCCTCTGCCGCATTTCTCACGGTTGGGCGGGGGCGACCGCGTTCCCAGCAGGCGCAGCGCCGGACTTGGCCGCACGGTGGCGCGGCGCGGGCGCCGAGCGTGGGAAGAGCGGGCGGAGCTCTCGGAGGGAGCGGAGTCCGCAGCGTTGCGCCTCCCGCGGGTAGCTGCGCCGGGAGGCTGTGCTCGCTGAGCTGCGCCGGAAGCCGGCGGCCGCCCAGGTAGGAGCTCCGGGGCGGGTTGAGTGAGCCGGGCCGCGCGTGACCCTTGCATGCCCGGCCCGGCCGCGCCTACCACTCCGCTGCCGCCTCGCGGGCGGGCTGGCGGGCAGGCGGGTGCGGATGGGCGGCCTGGGCAGTGCAGGCCTGAGGGGCCACAGCCTCGGGCGCACGAACCTGAACGGCGCCCTGCAACTCAGCTTCCCTGTAGGCGGCGAGCATGGTGCTAACGCAGGGGTGCGGCGACTTGGAGCGGCTTCCCGGGAGGGAAGCGGAGACAGGTGGTTGAGGGGGCGAGGGACGGCGCAGCACGTTCCGAGATGTGGGAGCTTGCTTCTAGCTCTTCAGAGGCACGGAGGTGCGTGAGGGAAGGCCAGGGCGTAGCTTGGTACTCGCAGGTGCAGCCTGAGGAGATGCCACCGCGCAGCTTCTGTGCGATTCCCCCACCCCATTAATAACGTGGGTGTGGTAGTGATTATGGGAGACTTGGACGGAGCTCTGAACTGGCCAGCTGCGCCCCCCTGGCCCGTGTGCACGTCCACCAGCCACAGACGCCTGCGCCGTTGGGGGAGGGGGGGAAGAGCAAGCCCTCTGGGTAGCTGCTCTGGCAACCTAGGTAGCTGCAGAGATAGGGCAGATAGAGTCAGAGCTGTGGACTAAGTTCCGCCCTTAAGTTTCTGGGTGGTGGGTCATCTTCCCGTGGGGGAAGTGGGGCTATGGGGAAACGGTGAATTTACTCAGGACTCCTTCCTAGCTTTGTTTGTAATCAGAGATGGGATTTGGCCCATGCCAAATATGACTTTATTATTTTTTTAAAATTTCACTTTGGACGTAATTATTATTTTTTTAATTTTTAGAGAAACAACAAATCACAGAGCAGAGGACAGCTGGTCCAACCAAACCTGTTGCTGCTGCAGTGCCTCTTATGTCAGGATAGATGGGTCTCTGTACCTTCTTCCTCACTTGCCGAGGCTCCTGGATACCCTCCTGCCAGGCTGTACAGTCTGCCTATAGCCAGGGTGGTGTTGGTGCTGTGGCCCCCACCTGCCACACAGCAGGGGAAGAAGAATGCAAGAGCCAGGCAAGTCTCTCTGTTCTCTGGGGTGAAAGGAGCAGGTAAAGACAGGGCTGAGGCTTCCTTTGGCACTGGTGGCTGGAGGATTGGTATGCCAGCCCCTCGGGCTGGTTTCCACTCCTGGCCTGTCTCTGGCATTGGATAACTGCGTTGGTGCTATTGATGTCGTCATGTTATATAACACTTATATAATCTCCCACGGCGATAGCTTTCTCTCTGTTCTGAGGTCACACTGATGGGGTGTATGCCTGTGTAGGAGAAAGGATCTGTGGTTTTTGGACGGACCTGTTCCCTCAGCTCATCCCCAGCTAGAATCCTTTTGATGGTCTTGGAACAGGAGAGGTTTAACTGAACAGGTACCCATAATACCCCAGCAGTTCAGTACTATGAACTGTGCTAGCTGGGCAGTTTTCTCCATTTCGTCGTTTCATTTCTCCTTCTCCAGTGGCTTGTTTGTTAATGTGGATGCCATTCTTGACCTCTGAGTCCAGCTGTTGGTTCTTGGGGCTACCTGGCAGGGCAGGTGGGTGTGGTGAGATAACCCCTAGGATGTGGAGCACATGATACATTGTGCTTGAAAATCAGGATTAGCTCTGCCCTTGAGGTTTTGAGCAACAGACTGGAGCGATGATGCTGGCATTATACGACATTTGGAGCAGGTCTAGGGGACAAGAGGTGGTCAGGGAAGGGTGTACAGGGAAGTGGATCAGACAGCAAAGATAAACATGGTGTTCTTTTACTGTACTCTCCACTGGGCTGTCCATGGTTACCAGGGCAACAGAGGCAGTGGTGAAATCATGCTTTTCGTTCAGTGGAAAAATCTGGTTCCTCCTCTTCCCCCTCCTCTTTCAATTGCCTGCCAACCCTGCCCATTGGGAGGGTGATGCCCTTAGGGATCAAAGGCTCCAACATACCCTCTTAATGCCCTGCATTGTCATGTTTAAAAAAAAAATCATCTCCCTGGTTCCTGCTTCTCCTAGCTCCCCCTAAACCCCTACAGTTGTTAGTTGCGTGGGAGTTGGAATACATGGAGGGGGCAGGGTATGAACGTCATCCCTGGGCAGAGCTAGGCGAGCGTGGGCAGAGATGCTATGCAGCCGTGACAGGAGCATGGACAGGGTCAGGAATTGATGAGTTCCACAAGCCAGAGGTCTTTTCCAGAATGGTAGATAGGTGGAAGGGGGACCGTGAGATGGTAGAGTGTACAGAGTGTGCAGCTCTGGGCTCAGGGTTATGGGAAGTAAGACATGCCTTATGATAAAAAACCAGGGTTCACTCATTCAGCAGTTATTGTGTGCCCCTTAAATTAGGTAAGGTTCTGGAAGCTTGGAAGCCAGAGAGGGCAGTGAGCCCTGACCTTGAAGGGAATGTATGCATGGAAGGAAGATGAGTAGATATATGGGGTTAGACCCCATATACATCATTATAAGCCTGGCATGGGGGTCAGGGAGATAGTTCAGCAGAAGCCAGGTAAGGTGCCGGACTGGAGCGGGAAGTCTGTGAAGCCTGCAGGAATGGAAACGAGAGACAGGTCAGACAGCCGTTTGGATTTGGGGACAGGACATGGGGAAGGAAGGTGCTAAAATTTTAGCCTTAATAGTTGGTATTCAAACTTGTTCAAGGGAGACACATTTGATTTGTTTTTAGAAATCTTTGCGATGATGTTAGATACCAGCATAGAAACATTTTTGGTGAGATCCAGAGTGTGAGGTGGAAGTCAGTTCTGGGGAGAGATTCTAGGAAGAGCTTGGAAGTACAGGTATATACCTTGTTCTTGTTTATAATCCCAAGACCATTTCAGACTCCTTGGCTTGTTTCTGTTAACTACCTACATCTTCTGTCAGACCATATCTGTTTTTAAAATGCAGATTCTAGTTTATACTTTCTTTGTGGTAGCCGTGTCTGAGTACATGCAGAATCGACACACGCAGGTGCATTTCCCTCCCTATATTGCCTTCTTGACCTTTGCAGTTCACTTAGAGTCGTCATTCTCAGCCTGTGGGTTGTGACCCGTTTGAAGGATCAACCAACACTTTCTCAGGGATTGCCTAAGACCTATGGAAAACACAGATACTTACATTATGATTTATAACAGTAGGGAAATTATAGTTATGAAGTAACACAAATAACTATGGTTGGAGGTCACCACAACTTGAGGAATTGTATTAAATGGTCATCGCATCAGGAAGGTTGAGAAGCACTGACTGAGAGGCTCAGGAAGTGCTACTGACTTGCTTTCTTTCTTCCTATCACTGAGTGGAAGTACAGAGTCAGGGGACCTGTACACCATCTTGGATGTACCACTTTCCTTTCCAGGTCTTAGCATCTAGCACAAGGAATCTAGTTTTTACTTCTTTGAAGCCCCCAGAAATGATGTCAATAGCCATTTCCTCGTTTGCTTAAGTTTCTGATTCAGGTTAAGTTTTTAGACTTAACAGACTGGACTTCTTTTTAATTTCTTTAGAGCAAGCAGCAGATATGGACACCTGAATCTCATGGTAGAGATACATAGATACGTTTTGACTTTTGTTCCTCTCTGAAACATGAAATGCTAAAAGAGCAGATTCTAGTATAAAAACAAAACAGAACTTTGGCCTATGTAGACCAGATGCTTATTTCTGTACTTTATTGGCTCTTAGAAATGCCTGTTGCTTATGTTTTGCCACAGAGATATGGTCAAGTAGGTACAACAGCCACATGACCTGCAAGCTTAAAATATTTACCATCTTATCCTTTAAGACATTACAGATAGAACTTTGCCAACCTTGCCATCGGCTGCCACAAGAGCTCATGAGTCTCCACTGGGAATTCTTGCTAGGACTGGTTCAGACCTCAAAGGTTCTTAAAGATTGTTAGATATTTGCAGTGACCTCATAAGAAGAAAGTATATGGTCAGAATAATTCCGTAGTGGGAAACTCCTTTCTTCTGTGGAGCCTGGAAGGTATCCCGCTCTTTTGGGGGGCCTAGAGTCTAGAGTTCCTGAGCAGAGCTGGATCATGGCCGTGCTTTGACTAGTTGCTGTGCCTGATTCTCAGGTTTGTGCAGAGGAGCTAGACTGAGCTCAACCCAATCTTGGGACAGAAGAAGGGAGACTAATGAGCTCTTTGGTGTCCTGTAGGATATTTTCTGGTAGTTTTGCTTTGTCCTCTGCCCTAAGAGTGTCTGCAAGCAGCCTGTGTGTCTTGTCTGATCGTGGTGCCTAGGCTTGGTGTTGTGGGGGCTGTCTGTCAACTTCCTGGAGACCTTTTGTTTCCTAATTCCCCCCTGTTGACCTGGTCCTCAGCTTGGAGTCTTAGTAAAACCCTTGGCAGGTAATGGTGCTGATTTAAGACTTGGTGCTATGAGCTAGCAGCAGCACAACAGCTGGAGAAGTTTGGTTTAGGGTTGAGATAGGAACTGAAAGGTTTTGGTGGCAAGAAGAAACCACTCACTCTGATCAGTGGGGAAAGAAGGGGTGACATGCTTATTCCCATTACAGCTGGGAGAGAGAAAGGAGGAGGTGCCAGTAGGAGGAGGGAACAGAGGATCCAGAATAGCAAAGACAGTAGCCAACTACACCCAGAGTTGCTTTTAGCTGGTAGTGGTGAGACTGACCCCAGGAGTTTCCTTTTCACCTCCTGATACTTCAAAAGCCCTCATCAAACACTCTTTCTACCCTTCATTTGTAGAGTTAGGATGACCCCGTACTTCAGAGGTTTAAATAATGCATTGACTTGAATTATTGATTTCATGGTCTGGATATTCATTAAGGTTCTGTGTTGGGCAGTATGTGAAGTTCCGAGAAGACAGGGAAGTAAAGCACTTACAGTCTGGTCTGGAAGGTTCATGGACAATTGAACCAATTTCTATACCATTTGTGTAGTGGTTTGAATAGGTATGGTTCCCATAGACTCATGTGTTTGAATGTTTGGCCCATAGGGAATGGCATTATTAGGAGTACTCGGAAGGCAGAGGCTGGTGAATCTCTTGAGTTTGAGGCCATCCTGGTCTACAGTTAGAGTTTCAGGTCAACCAAGCTTAGGCAGTGAAGGAAACCATCAAATCCAGAAAGCTGGTAAAGATTTCAATGAGTGAGGGGGGCATGTTCTAGCCTCAGCAAGCAGAAGAACTTGGCAGCTTCAGCCACATGGTTCTGGCTTTAGAATCAAGGTTAGAAGAAAGGGGTCATGGGATCTCCCTCCACTACAAGGGAAACCTTTAAGGCCATGC